GGGGGGTGTTGGGCATCTCCCCTTGCGGCTTGACCCCACATTGCCCCCCGCCCCCTGGTGGATCCTTTGCCGCTCCAGGGGCCAACAGCTGCCGGCCCCGGGCGAGTCCCCCTTGCGCCACAGGAGGCGAACCACCGAGCAAGGTAGCACTCAAAGCCTTCAAATTCAAATCATCATCATCATCATCATCCGAGTTTGGATTTGACCGTGAAGGTGAGAAGACGTGCCGTGCCTAAAGTGAAACTTCTTGGCCATGGCAAATAAAACCAGTCTTCTCAATTCAAATAAGTGAAATAACCAGATATTTCTTATAAAATTTCAAGTTCTGAATTTAGAGTGATCATGTGGAAAAACAAGAAGATCCCAAATCTGCCTCTGGCTCTGGGAGACTGGGAACAAAGCCCCAGACAGCCAACCCCAACCGGCAGGAATGTCCAAGATAAAGGGAACTGAACTTGAACCCTACCCTTCATCAGCATCAGAGAGAACTACCTCAACAAAGACAAAAATACCAGTAGACAAGAAAGGAGATCCATTATCATAACACAAGCGCCATCAGACAAAGACATGTTCATTTTCATTTCATCAGTTGATTCATGCACTGTCACCATCTTTATGCAAGTGTGCAAAATTTCAGATCGATTGGAGAGGTAGAAGTGTGTTAAATATTGATTATAAGATTTGTAACAGACAAACAAACAACAAGAAGTGAAATTGAAGAGAAGTGTTGTGAAAAAATTACTATTCACTTTTAAAAATGTTAACTACCCAGTCTACCCTACCCTCATATGGCCTAATGTTTGATAATGTAAATATTGAATTGGCCAAAACACACTGTACAAGTATCTTTGCCTTTTTCTTGACTCTCCAGCTTTTGGATGGAAAGAGCACTGAGCACATATAGGTAGGGTAAACGCGGTATATTCCGACACTTTAACTTTAAGGACATAGCAAAAAATGAATGGCTATAAAAAATGCACCATACGCGCAACTCAAGTTCTGTTTGCTTTACATCACTCTCAAAACACCGCACTACGCGCCTGCAACAATGAAATGTCACACATTGTGGCAAAGCAGAGAGTTTTTTAGACTCTCCCTCGGCCTCAAGTTCATTTTTGAGTCCTATAAGTAGACCAGTAAAGTATCATGGATACCAGCATCATCATACAAGAAATTGGTTTAAATCTTTAATAAATGAGGAAATTGAAAATGAACTGATTCTAAAATGTCTCTGGCTTGTCACTATGATGTCACAAAATGTTGCCACATTTATTTAAAAGCCTTTAGAATGCAAACCTACCAAATTCATATATTCCGACACTGTGTGTGACAGTGTGAGTCAGTGTGACTAAATTTGGCATTTTGTGAGACTAATTCCGGCCGCGCTTCAAACTCTACTAATTCATGATGCCGACACTCTTGTGTTCAAATTCCGATAGCTGTGTGAGCTGTATTAGTGTATTGGAATACAACACAGTTTGGAATTAGAACACTATTGAATATTGAAGTTTTGAACACTAGTACTTAATTAGGCTTTTAATTAAGAGCTATTAAGATTTTAATTGAGAAAATTTTAATTTTTGCACACAGCTTGGAACGAGCTGTGTGTGTCTAATTCCAAGCTGTGTCAGAATTAGTTTTTGTGTCTAAAACCGTCTCTTAACCTAATCATCTATTAATTTTTTTACCACTTGAAAATGAGTTGAAATCAGCAAATACAAGTATACTTAAAGGATTTCTAATATATTCACTTCACAGACGTATTTAAACGTCTCAAACCATCATATTCTTTCTACACAAACAGCTTATCACTATTTGGTAGAGCAAGGTCAACTATCAACTTTGACTAGTTTTTTGATGTTCTCACTGGGTGACACCGTGACGCGCACTGTCTCTCTTTAGATCTCAACATTTTCCTGCTAGACGGCCCAGACCTAGTGTTTTGGCAATAGTATGGCGCACAAAAATATGACGTCACTATTTCAACCATCATTGAATGCATAGAACTAAGAAAAAGCTTAATATATATAAAGGAAAAAAGTCAAAAAGTGTCGGAATTACCCATGATGTCGGAATATACTGCGTTTACCCTAAACCACCTCTGAGGTAGCTGCATCAGGAAGACCAATGTGATGCAGGCAATGTCAGCACATCACTGGAGAGCCAATAGAGAAATATTGCTTAAATTTTACAAAGCAGTACAGCATCTTTGTAAAATTTGTTTTATGAGACAGCAGCAAGCAGCTCTTTAACAAGTTGACTCTGAAGTGGTACAAATGCATACCACAAAATGTATTTCTCCAGGACGTAGTGGTACATATTTCTGGGTTGCCTAAAATTGGCCAAATCCAAGAACAAAATAGGCCGATAACTCAGTATATACTAGTTTAATTGCAGGTTCCGCTATAAAAATTCCTTTTATTTTCTTTTTGCAGTATTTAAAATTTACTTAGGATGTACCTCTATCATAAATTTTAGCCAGCCAATGTAATTGAGAAAAACTAATTCATAATTGATAGTCACCCACTATCAACCTCACAAAAATGTGCCATTAATTATTAATATTGGAAAAAATGACTGTCTGGCAACCCTGTTCAAAAACAGTACAAAAAATGAAATAATAGTACAAGATGAAGCAATCAGAGTCTAAGTGTTAAGAGAAGCTTAATAAAATTTCAGAATAGATGCCTCAGGTTAGCTATTTGAGTAATGAAAACTTCTATATTTAATTGGAGGTTGAGAGTGACATTTCACCACTGAGATATCACCATCAACTTGTGTGGCTGTGGTACCTGTTGGCTAGGAGAGCTCCCTCATTGCTCGCTAGTCTACAAAAACATTTTAAATGGAGCAGGATTGACAGACAGCTTAGGACTTCATACTTCAATTCACTTAGCATGTCCCAAGGACATATTAAGAGTCTCCTGTTTTTTTAATTAAGAAAATCTTAACTTCAAGATTTAGATTTATTAGGAATAATATTTGAAATATTAAGAATAGTTGATAGAATTCTATAACAAAATTTTAATTATATCCTATTTATGATTTTAGTATAAACCACTCTGGTTATCTAAACATTACTAGAAGGTTGGATCTGTAATTTTTTATTTGATATTTCCATCCTTTGATGTTCTACAATCTGAGAGTGTTTTCTAGTCCAGGTGTGTTAATTAAGTGGCTAAAGATGACTACATCTTCAACTTTGGCCCAGTTTGAGCAACGTGCAGCACAAGCAGATGCTATGATTGCTAAGCTAACTAAGCAGGTTTGTACTCGAGTTGTATGATGTTTTGAAATAGTTTTGTATGTACGTCATTTATAAAATTTTCATTTTGTTTATTGGTGTGCATATGATAATTTTGTAATACCTATTTTTATTAGAAATATATCTAATAATTTTTTTAATTAATGTTGTTTATTACCTATATACTAATCTGTTTCTTTGACTAAGTTTTAGTACTGCATTTCTCCTAAAAAAAATATGTTTGGATTTGATTCAAACTTCATGCTGTAGCTTCTTTTTCAAATTTGATTTTACTCTTCTAAATAATCAATCAGTTTGGGGAATAACTGTTGCAGGACAGCAAAGTATAAACTTTGCTTGAAGATAATGTAATTTTTTAAAGATCATCTTACCCGCCACTGCTATGCACCTAAAATATTGCAACTCATGCTTCATTTATAACCTACCACAGTTCAGAGTTTTTACCAATCATTACTACCATCCATTACTACCATAAAACTACCATCCATTTTCAACCAAAATCACACATATTTTCAAATTATTTATTACTGATAGTATTAACTTTAATTGCCTTTAAAGAACATGAATCACAATGGAATAGTTTTCTCTATAGAGAAATGTAATGTTATAGGCAATCTCTACCAATATAGGGTCAGTGGGTAGTAGAATTTGTGTCATAAACTTATATTTTTATCAATTTTCAGCATGGAACTAAGGTTTATATATGTATATCAGACAATATATTTGGAGGATGTCTTCATTTTTTGTTTAAACTCCTGTGAATATTATTGAAGTTTTTTTCACAATCATTCTATGTTTAAAAAAATATAACTCAGTACCCACTGCAGTGAGCAACACAGTGCATTTTCTCATCGACAAAAATGTGAGGTCATGGACAGACAGATGGACATGACAAGCACAATAGGGCATTTTTTCCATAAATGAGAAAATGTGCTAAAAATATTTTAGTATCAAGGTAGGTGGGAAAGAAGACTGATTCAGTTTGATTTGCATTTCTTTTTTTGTGTTATGAATTCATGCAACATACAAGTCTTCTTCTCTTTCATTTATGTTTAGGAATCCATTCACATAAAGATGAATTTGGAATTTCTACCAATTTTTTTCTTATTGGGGCCACTTGACATGATCATTGAATTCAATTTTGTCTTAGTTATTTAAGAATTGGAATCGATATAATTAATCTAAAGAATTCCAAGGTTGGAAGAGAAGGGAAGTGTTTGAAATTAACTATATGCTATGGAGTTATTTAAGTCCCTTATAGTCCCTTTAGCTCTATTTGACAAACTCTTCTATTTTAGTTGTGCCAACTGGAGGCAGCTGCAGCTGAAAGACAAAAAGATGCTCTCAGGCTGGAGAATGTGCAACTCAAGGATGAAGTGAACAAACTGCTGCAAAAGCTTGTTGCTCTGGAGAATGCCAAAGGAGAAAAGCAGGTAATTAAATGTGTATACAATATTACTTGTATTTGAGTTCAAATTTGAGATTATTCAGACTACAACCTAATTTTCACAGCATATATATGATTGTGCTCTTGATGATGTTCAATACATTTATGCATTATTAAATAAAGAAAAAGTATATAAAATTGAAACAAGTTCTGTTATTAAATTTTTTCTGCCTAAAAAACAATTCCGTGTTCATCTTTTATCAATGTGATATTATTTCTTAGTTTTTCTTGAATCTTACTTGAATCATGTCAAAAACAACATCGAACGTTTTGTTACAGTACTACAACTTTTGTAAGGGTACGGATGCCTCTCCACCTGCAGCACCTCCTGTTTCTGTGACGGAGGCTACTGCTAATTCTGCTCCAACTCCTGCCCCTGTGCAGGTGAAACATGGAACTTGAATCTATCTATCAGCATTATTATTAGTGTGAAATATATTCTTGCACATTGCCTGCCTTATCATTGTAATATTTCCATGTCAAGTAGTATAGGTAGGTTTTGAAGATACAAAATTTCTGCACTCAAGGTAGTTATTATGCTTTACTTCTTATTATGTGATTACAAGTACTCTATAAACTCGTGCAATACAACATAACTTGAAATTTTAAAATTTTTACAAATTGTTTCATTTAGTAATGGGTTGCACATTAAAAGTAGATCGAAAATGAGAAAAAGCCCAAAAAAGAGAAAGCCGTCAAGAAAGAAGAAGGCGGTGGCAAGAAGCAGGCTGAAGATGACCTGCCTGTTGATGTGCGCCGCTTGGACTTCAGAGTTGGTCGTATTGTGAAGGCTGAGAAACATCCTGATGCTGAGTCTCTCTATGTTGAACAGGTACTAAATTTAAACACTTGTTATTGTTTCTCATTATGTATGTAGAGACAATCTAAAAAATGTGCCATTAATTATTAATAGGATTGAGTGTTTTATATGAATACCGAGTAATTTTTTGGTGAGTAATGCATATTGTATGACCAAACGTTGATTCATGAAATTGTATCACATTTTATATCGTCTTGTTTATTAATTTTAGTTGCTACTTAATGGATTCTACTGTCATGAAGAATTTTGTGCAGTAGAAATAAAATGGATGATTTAAATAGATTCACCATTTTTATAATCATTGTTTTTCTTCTTTTATTGTAACAATCTAACAAACAAACAAAGTAAAAGTAGTAAACAAACAAAGTTTATTGTAACAATCTTATAATTTCGAGGTTGCATGTATAATATATTTTGTACACGATTTTTCCTGGCTTTTGCGTGTTCCATTACTGTAATGGAAAGCTTTACAGATATATATATTTCCATACTACATCCCTACTGATCTGACGTGTGATTGCATCAGGAAAGTTTTTAGGTTAAATTTAAGTTTTGAGGTTTAATGAATGTTTCTATGAGTTCTAATAACGAGTGACCATTAAATAGCAATTATGTTACCAGATCGACTGTGGAGAGGAAGCACCTCGTACCGTCGTGTCAGGCCTCGTGAAGTTCGTGCCGCTGGAGGCGATGCAGGACAGACTTGTGGTGGTGCTGTGCAACCTCAAGCCTGCCAAGATGAGGGGCGTCACCTCCCAAGCCATGGTCATGTGCGCCTCTACGCCCGAAAAGGTCCGCAGCTAAATACAAAACTAACTTGATCTGCTTCTACTTGAAGATAATTTAGCTTCATCAGTTAACCACTGCAATTCGTTGTGTACAATGAAGAAGTAGTTGCTGCATTGTGCTTCAGAAGGACGTGGTGTGTTTCCCTCCCAAGGATAGCATTATTTTATGCCAAATAATGCCGAGGCTCGTTTTTGGTCTATGTTTTTTAGGCTAAGCGATTTTAGCTCTGGGGTTTCAGAGTCAGTGTCTACATTTTCGCTATGGATGGTGCGTCGTTCCGGCATTTGTTGTCTCTGTTCAGTGTGCAGCTTGCTGCCACATACGTGACGGCTTGTCTCTGTCTTGAGTTTTTCCTGCAATGTTCATGATACACTCAGGGAGGGCGGTCCGGGCGAGTTTAATCTTAATATTAATGAGGTTCACATTCCAGTCCCCGACAAGCTTAGCCAGTCGAACGTTACCGAAACCGCTTGGGCCTTAACAGCAAGCGGAGTTTGAAATTGATTTATGTATGATTGTGCAAGAGTGATGAGTGACGTTTATGAAAAATATCAAGCTCTCACAACCAGGCACCTGGGTAACGAGCAGTTAGCCTATTGGTTAAGCAGTGCTGCTGCAAGTAGAATGAGAACGCCTCCGACATAATCACTAAGATATTGCTGAAGTCTAAAATTCTTACAAGTTGATTCACGAAAAATTCCTGATATTAAAGCTCAATAAAGAAATCAGTGAAGATATTACAATATAAATTTATGGGAAAATAAATTACTTCAATTTTTGTATCACTTAGTTTTGAATATGACATCGGGCAAATGACGGCCCCCATTGTCAAAGCATTCAGTTGGTAGATTTTTGAAGTTGCGTTTAACTCGCCGAATTATATTGACGGGTATGTTGTCGATGGCCTGGCGTATGCTGTTATTCAAATGAGGTAGGGTCCTAGGGAGATTTTCCTTGGCTCCCCACCACTGAGCTCGCAGTATCTGACTGCGAGTCTCAGTTGTTGGGTTAAGTTGTTATGTGTGTAGAATTTCCTTTAATTTCCCTCCTCTGTCTCTCTCGCGTGTGCGGCCGACGTCTCGTGTAAGCGACCTCTTGTTCAAGTATCTTCGTTCCTTTTGCTTGTCACCTGTCCCTCCTTGTCACTTTATCTCTGAGATGCTAGCACTGATTCTTGCAGCCGGCTTGAGCGGGCTGGACACTTGAGACCTCCCGCCCCTTGTGGGTGATGGAACATTTGAGATCTTTACAATAATGGAGACCCGCCTTCCAGGCTATGTTAGTCTTTGACCTGCGGCGCGAAATAGCTGAAGTGCCTGCAAACCATCCTACTATTTATACTGCTACTTCTAACGTAGATTACGAACTTACGTTTCGATAAGGTAAATCTAGGCTATTTTCAATAAGCGTCTATCGTTGATATAGGTAAATATTGATCCCTGATATCCTGGTGGACGCAGGTGGAGATCTTGACTCCTCCTGCCGGCTCCGTCCCAGGAGACCTGGTTGAGTTCGACGGCTTCCCTCGCCAGCCTGACGCGGTGCTCAACCCCAAGAAGAAAATTTTTGAATCTTGTGCTCCTGATCTACAGACCAACGCTGAACGAGTTGCCGTTTACAAGTAAGTACATTTAATTAGTTTAGGTATATGTTAATCATGAGATAATTTGAGATACGATACCCTGTAGGACCTATGCGATATCATATACCGTCAACGTTTTCTTAGCAACATTTAAATTTTTGTATAATGTTTACAGTGACCTCATTTGTCGCGTATTTAGATGTGCAGTTTTTATCATTAATATGAATCAGGGGTGCATTCATGAAGCCTATGCAGAATAATTCAATATCATTCAAGCCACTTGTGGTCAATGACGCCCGATGTCTGCAAAATGAAGCGCATACGTTTTGATTAACTTTTATACTAGGAATTGCCTCCTTGGTACTTTCATGCCAATATATTCAATACAAGTAGAACCGGATATGATCGCAGATAATATTTCAACTTTTTTTTTGCAGAAACGTGGCCATGAGAGTGCCTGGCAAGGGCGTGGTGACCGCCGAGTCTTTGGCTGGTGTTCAAGTGAAGTAAACTCAGAGTTATTGTCGATGTTCTTTCTAACCTCTTTGGTTACTTTGGTACAGACGAGTTATCTTGTTTGCTTGCGTGACGCGACTTTATTCGGTTAGGTGGCGGGACAACGTGGGTAGCATAATCAAGTACATCAGAGTTTAGCATCAAGTACATCAAAGGTAAAAAGTCCAGTCATTTCACAGAGTGAACGCATATATTTTAGTGAGTATCAGTAGTCGTGAACATAGGAATTCTTATAAAATGTAAACACAAAGGAGATATTTCGCGATGACTTTATGGAGACTCCATCATTAGTTCAGACACACTTGTGGAAATTTTTACGAGATTAAAAATACAATTGACGGGAAAAAAAAACGAAAAAAGACGTCCACTGAGGTATTTTGTCGCTACTAGCAAATCCCGCTTTCAGAATTCATCACACGTTGCTGAACTGGTTATGGTGCCGATGTTCACACGTTATCCTTAGAACTCTCTGGTCTTGATTCGTTATTAAAGTTTTCGGTTCGCCGCGATTTAAGGTATCAGGTGTTCTTAATACTATGAAATAGACAATAGATTCGGTGCAAAAAAAAAAAAAACCTTAAAGCAGCTGCACGGGTGACTGCAGTAAGTAAAAGTGATCAATCCATTAAATTTTGCACTGTTAATTAAATGGTACGACTGTACGAGTTACCGATTCAGTATTACTCAAGTACAAAGAATGTATCTTATGTTAAGATAAATACATAATTTACGAGTATAAATGATTAGATCATTGTATCACAGCGTGCATTGGACGGATGAAGTGATTGCTTAAAATAAGTGACTAAGAGTCATTTCCGGACTAGCTCAGTTCCTCTCAGCATGCAGAATAAATTTAAAAATTTTCTACGTGTCCGATGACAATTTTAAATTGAACAATTAAATTATTTAGTGATTAACTAAATAATTTTGTGACAATTAAATTAACAAAATTTAAATTAACAATTAGTGATTTCTACATATTTTCTGCAATGTACGGTAGGACTGTAAGGAAAAATTTTTTAAATAGTGATAGTAGTTATAGAGTCCGTTGTTGATGGACATGATTAAATCCTTCGCTTATTGAGGAATAGAAATGCTCCATCATGAATACGAAGAAGTTACAAATACACGAATATAATAATACGAAGAAGCATTAGAGGTTCTTTGTCCTGAGGTACCCGGTACCGCCTTGAGCGATATAATTCCTTTAATGCATTTTCAAATTACAAAACAGCGGCGAAGACTGGACGCATAAGGAGGCCCGTATAGCACCACATCACCAGGTGTCCTCGTCCGCCTCTGGGTTGCCGAATATGTCTTCGCCAGGACTCTCAATGACGCCTCCCTTGGCAGACTTGAGGGAACGGGATTTGTCGTCTAGAGCTGAGCCCTCAGCAGCTGAGACTTGGGTGTTAGCTTGACCAAGTACCTTGTCTCGTTGATCAGGCTTGCCTAAGTCGGCAGCTTCGTCCTCGTCTATCAAGGAATCCAGCTCGTTTTGGGCATTCTGATAAGTAGCTTCTGAAAAATAATTTGATTTAGGAAGTGTTAATAAATTTAATTCATATCATCGTCGTGCTTACTTTCCGGCGAAGAGAATGGAGTAAACCCACGTGGAGAAACTCGATTTTTCATTTCAAATGATCTAGTATTTCAGGTATATGGGCAGAAAAGTGTTTTAGCAACTTTACACATAATGTTATGTTTCAAGATTGTCATTAACACTAACATGAGGTATCACAACCAGAGTTTCCTCCCGTATACCTGCACGAACATCCGCACCTGGAGACTGAACATTGTGCTCCTCCGGTGGAATGTCATCATGTGGGATCCCTGTTGCTTCTTCTTCCACCTCTGGTGTTCGGGGTGAACTTGGTTCTTCACGCTCATCAACACTTGGTTCATCCGGCTGCTCTTCATTTGTCTCTTCTTCTTCGGCAAGATTTTCATCCTCATCTTCCTCCGTCTGACCGCTGGGCAATCTCGGCACTATGTAACCTTTGGAGGAGAGCCCACGAGCAGACCTGCATTTCAGGGATTTGATCAATTAAAGCCTAATCTCCAAAATATAACTGCAAGGAGAAAATAATCAAATATGATTAAGTTACTGCAGCTAATGATTATTTTACAAATGAAACACTCTTCAACCCTTTTTTAGCGGGCAAGTGACCATCCAAGGCTATTTATATTGCCGCCCTGAATACTCAACTCAAACCTATGGTGGTGATTGCAGTCACGTAATAATGTTTTTGCCAATCATATTCCAATAGCTCCATATTTCTATTTCATCACACCCACCACGCTACACAATTGTAAGTTGAGCATTTAACGATCAGTTCTCGCCCACAATGATCATTCTTCAGCCTTATTATTCCAACAAAAGTAACAATAACTTTGTAAGCAACGTTAGTAACTAGATAAATTCTATTAACCCAATAATATATGTAATCGTGACCATTCAAGATTAATTCATGAATTACAATTACGAAATTCGATACTCAAAATTTAAAGAAAGTGCAACGACTGAATATTTGTCATAGTTTCTGGTTAAATACAAAACGTTGTATTTCCATGTTTCCCTGTGAACGGATTAATTGTATGATCTCAAGCATAAATAAAATTAAGATTCCACACAAAATTTCTTTTGTGTTCTTAAGTTATGAGCTTTGAATTTCCTGAGAAAAGAGAGTTCGAGTTACCGTATCCTCGCAGAGCGGACGCGATCCTCGCCAAGCCTGGACCCGAGTGGCACCTCCACGGGGTCGATTGCTATTATGCTCGGCTTCCTGCCTCCTGCCTCCCCATCTGCTCATCACATGCCATATTTATCTCTACACGCCCTCCCCTCAATTTACTAAGCATAACACTACACTAATGCAATTTTCATCACAGAAAAAATCGCTGAAGTTGCATTAGAAACATCAGTTAACTATTTTTTTGTCAAACCAGTGGGTACTGTCAATTGCTGCATATCGAAACTGACGAGGTTGTTTCATTCTCAGGTTCAATGTGTCACCTGTTATAATTATAACCTCAAATAAAACCAATTTATATGATTCTTTATCTACCCCAGTTATCATGCAGAATGTATATACAAATCTTGCATTAACAGCAATCAGTGCAATGCATCAATATACCGAGGTTGTCGGTGACGCCACGATTTTGCTGTGCATCGTTGATGCCACCTTTGGTGAGTCGCTCGAGCAAAAGGGCGATGCGACTCTTCAGGTTCGAGGTGTCCAGTGGCTGTGAGAGCGTCGAGGAGGGAGGAAGGTCGGTGTCCTCGCCACACACCGTTCGCAGTAAGAATGATATGCAGCAGTCCACTACCTCCTCCCAGCCCTGGCACCACAAAACATATACTGAATAAATGAGCCACTAATCAAAGAAATGTGAGCCCTTGACCCGAGAGACGTACAAGTGCTCCAGTAAACCCGGATGTCAACTAATGTTAATTGTAAAACAATGGGATTAAATATTGCCTGTAAACATCTGGACTATTTTCGTAAACCCAAGTTTTCTTTTTGAAAATCAAAACCACAATGATGCAACATGCCTGTCCCGGCAATTTTTGACCCAAGAAAATGAACTATCTTAGAAGCATGCAAAAAGTTTTTCTGCGTCACTGATTACACTACAAAAAACAGTCCCGTATTGGAAGTAGGGAGTACTAGAAGGTTTTTTGGCGTTTCAGAAAAAATGGCTTGCAGCCTTTTCCATTTAAGCGCATGCGTTTAGGGTCAAATTCTCTTCCCAGAGCGAGTAGTAGTAGTAGTAAAGGATTTACTAGCGCTTCAGATAGCTATCTATTTCGCGCCGGAGGTGAGGTATTCAGCTTCGTCAAAGATGCCTGGTCTCAGCGAAGGATGGCAGTTTTGTCAGATATTTTTGTCAAATTAGAGAACAGGTTTGCTGGATGTCCCCGAAGCTACGACACTCCGCAAGGACGGGCAGTCAAGTGAGAAAACATTACCCAGTACAAGCCAGCATTTGACACCTCACGCGCAGCAATGCGGCTCAAAAAAGGGCGGTTTCAGATAAAAAACAGAAACGTGTCATGACGAAAAATTTAGTACCAGGTATCGTTTCTTTTAGTCTTTACTTGCACAACTTGATGTTGAGCGCAAATAATCTTGCTCTATTATTTTCGTTGTGTTATTCCCAACTCTTGAATATAACTAACTAAAATGTATAATTTACATTTGTCAGCTCATAGTTTCACAGGGAACGGATGCAAATGTGCTTACATTCATGAGCGATGCAGGAGACCACACAGGAATAGAGTGGCAGTACCGCCACTAAAACTGTTATTTATGGTTATTAAATCGTCACAGGGTCAGAAGAGTAATCACCTGCGTTTGTTGAGGTGGAGGCATGTGCGGCGAGAGTGCAGCAGCGAGCAGTTGTAGGTGACCAGGATTATAGTGCAGCTTAACCAACTGCACCACCAGCTGCACCACACACGACAGATGCGCACCGCTTAACTCCAGTCCACTAGTGTTATCCTGAAAAATTGTAATACATTGTTAGCCATTAGTAACAGATAGTTTGAAACAACAAACTGGAATAGAAAAAATATATTTGTGTGCCGAGGTTAACAATTTAGCATGACTTCAGACAAGACCAAACCATTCTGACCTAACGAGTTATTGTTTTCCTGGCTCCACAACAGTTCTATGCATCAATCACGCAACGCATACGGAGTAAAATTTTATCAGGCTTGATGGAAAGCCTTTCATTCTAAGTTTTCGGTTACGTACACTACCAGAAGATGGAGTGAATTAATTAATAAATAAATTACAAAAATGTGTCATGGCTGGCGCCAATAACGGTCTGTTTACGATTGCCGCCACAGGTATAAAAGCGTTCTGGACGAATTTCGGGCGACTTCGTAAACTTGAATAAAAAAGAGAAATAATTATTGTAGGTACCATATCGGATGGATTTCTATTCTCGTGTGTCTTTAATTCTAGTTCATCAATTAAATTTGAATTACCAGAATATTCGATATCGTATCAGATTCAGTAGAACTATCAGTCCTGAAAAGGTCTGGTCAAATGGCACCATTTTAGATCTTCTGTGAACAATTACAAGTCACGAAAAGTACAAGAATCAACGACAGGCCACATCAGGCCTACTCTTCAGCGCCGACATCACTATGTGATGTTATGTTATGTCAGCATAGAGAAGAGAAATTTGTTATCAATAGAGGATCGATCCTGGCGCGAAGAGACTCGCCTGGATGAGGTCGGTGATGTGCAGCACTTGCTTGTACATGCCGTCCAAGAGGTTATCCAGGTTCGTCAGCGGCGTGGGGTTCTTATCTTTAAACTTGGTCAGGAGACGTCGCTGTACTGCACGAACTTGCAGGCAACGCTGTAGTAGCTGATCCTGTTCACGGCATTTATCGAAGTAATGGGCGCAGAAAAAATTAAGAATTAACATTAAATTGTAAGGAATACCAACTAACAAAAATATTCATCATAAATCGTAGTTATTTACTTAATGCGAAAGAAATTATTGAAATGCTAACTAGATGTTAATGGAATAGGCAACATGCGATATAAAACCATTAACAGATATTAGAAATGAAGCTCACATTGAGACCATTATGTTTTTTCCTTCGCAAGAAATGCGCGTCGATGAGGCTGTAGAGTTCATTGAGAGGCAGCATAGAGGACACCCACAGAGAGAACGTCTCTTCCCCAGCGCCATGACGACCACCGGTGCCCCAGTAGCTCTCCAGACGACGACACATCTCACGGAACACAACCCACAGCGCCGGCAAACTGCACAATCGTCAATGCTCATTACGAGAGCGAAATTTTGTTTTGAACTAGAAGTCTCAGTAATATCTTTCATTGTTGGTAACTGGGGCTCACCTTTTTTGATGATAATTATGAAATGAACGGGGCTAATGCCATGAAATATTGCATAAATGCACAGTATTATACATAGTGGAATGATTGCTCGTGCATTAATTAGAGCAGAAAGCATATTGGAGATTAGGAACGAGCATCACCCCGAAAATCGTGAGCAAAAGCTAGTTGTCTAAGGGAACAAACTTTACTGCAAACAAATATTATAAGTAGAACATCACAACATAATTGACTGGATTTAAGTATTTAATTTCTTCGTTATTTTTTGTCGATATGATTATTAATATTATCCGGTACAGAGTAATAAGGATGCAATAAGTTGATTAATTTTGTTATCATTTTGCTAATAGTCGCCAGTTTCAGTAGAGTGGTGTACCTCTATAAATACTACCTGTCGCTCTGGAGTCGGTATCGCTGAGTGGTCCTTGAAGAGAGGACCGTTACGAGAGGCCCAGCGTAATGCTGCAGTCCCACACCCGTGCTACTCATGCTCGAGTCCAGGCCAAACTCAGGGAAAAGTTCAGGAAGATTCACTGCAGGTTTATTGGTGGAGAGAGTGATCTTGTGGTCTGCTTCTTTGTTTGGTGCAGAAGCTTTAACGACCAAGCGAAGTGGCAGCTCCAACTGTGAATAAGATTGATTGAACTTCAACATTCTGGATTTAAGTTTCCAGAAAAAGACGGAGAAACTGGAAAAAATCAAGTGTTTTTGAAGCCTAAATTCTATGAGCTCACGTAGTTTCAGAAGATAATATTTAGGGTTGTTGACTTTCGATGATTACGTGATAACAAATCAAAAAAGAAATGCCCGAGAATATCTGGCTAAGAAATTCGGCATGAGGAGCATTTCACCTGAGTGCGCAGGACCCTAGGTGCTCCCCTGGCCGTGGTGTAGGAGGTAACAACGAGAACGGTCAACGAGCAGGCGACGTAGGCGCCTGAGAGGTAGAACCGCACCAGCAGCTGACTGCTGTCGCCTGCAATACATACAAGGGCATTGGCAGTCAAACTATCCAAATTAGTGGATGTTGCCTGAACTTATGACCCGATGAATGATGAGCATTCAACTTTCCAGATGAAACAATAAGCCGTAATGCTCTCCCTTATATGACTTTTTCAACTCTAACCTTTTATTGGTAAATAATCCAAATATTAAACTGTAACATAACCTTTGATATGGCTAGGACCTAATAGCTGAAGTGAAACCCATGAAATTCTGATAGTACAAATGGAAAAACGTTTGAAACTTGTAGACTATACATTACATGAGGACTCACTGATTGTCCGTAGCATGAAGACACTTTGGGACACAGCAAGAGGCTTGTGCACCACAATGGCGACCCGCACGCCATTGATGGGCTGAAGGGCCGTGAGCCGCACGACCGCCGTGCAGCAGGGCACGGGGCCCTCAGGGTCCTGGATGGCCGAGGGGCCTGTCCAGGGCTCCAGCTTCTGGCCCAATGTGATGCCCACTGTTAGCTGCTGAGCGTCGCTGCGCTCGCTCGACAGGAGGCTACCTGCCGATCAGGTTTCAATCCATGTAATTCGGAAGATTTATATACATAGTTCACGGAACTAGATCGGAAGTTAGAGTGAGGATAGTGTTTGTAAAAACTTAAAACAATGAAGGCTTAGTAAACAATCATAAAATAAATATTTAAATGAGCACTATCAGTCAATCATTTCTTCATCGCACTTTTCGCCAATCGCAGTAAGGGCGATATGTAACACCAACGACAGGTGAAGGATAAATGTATTCAAAACTCACTCGAGTCTTTAGACGACGCTTTGATGATCCTATGAAGATTGGCAAGCTCTTTGTCAGTCTCGTCAAAATTAATTTCCCGCGTCTCAATGGGCGGCGCAGTGAAGAGTGAGGGATCAGTGCCAAGATACACGACCTGCAGCCGACCGCTGCCAGTGACGAGTGCCACGCCTCCTTTGATGCCCTGAAATACGATCAGGATAACTTGAGTCGTAGCCGCGCATGTAAATGTACGATTTTAATGAAAATAAATTATATTGATGGAGAATTTCGGATTGAATTACCTATAGTATTGAAAATAGGAGAGATGAATAATGCAGGAGCTGCAAACTTATTTGTGATATAAGTTTTATTCATAACACATTGTCACTATATTGATAGAATCCTCGCAGCAAGTTATGAAGTTACGATTTCAAAAGCCTACGCGGAAACCGAATCTTTGATTCAAATGCCCGTCAATATGAGTCATGATCGCATCTGCAATTAGACAGGCAAGACACCTTGAGGTTCACACGAGCGAGGGCGACAGGCCCCGTCAGTTGACAGGCAGGACACCCTTACCTTGAGGTTGACACGAGTGAGGGCGACAGGCCCCGTCAGTTGACAGGCAAAGGCAGGACACCCTTACCTTGAGGTTGACACGAGTGAGGGCGACAGGCCCCGCCAGTTGACAGGCAGGACACCCTTACCTTGAGGTTGACACGAGCGAGGGCGACGGGAATGCAGGTCAGTTGGGCAGCCCATTTGAGAACGGTCTCATGGTAGAGAAGAAGCGTCTGGGAGTGTGATGCCACAAGCGAGAATAGACTAGCCCCTGCAAAAATAAATATGGAAATGAACATTTAAAAATGTTGAGACTTGAGACATGGCTCAGCAAATTTAAAGCTTTGAACAATTCAATGGACAAACTGATGATAAATTGAAGAAATAAAATCAATTTCAAGCGCCAGCAACAGCAGGAGATAATCAAACCATGACTAGAAGTATCTGAATTGCCAGAAGTAAATTGTGAAGCAAGCACAGTAGGCATTGCAGGGTTTTGAAAAATTTTAGTTTTTATATTTAAAATTCAATGAGCAGTTCTTCAGAAATATTTGTGACTATTTCTCTCATTAAAAGGTTGAAATAAAATAAAATCTGATCAAGAAAATTGGTCCCATTCTTTTATAATATAAGCCTGTTTGATATATGGATAGTTTCATAATATGTTAACATTCAACAAAACTTGATCCATGAAAAATCAGTCCTAAGGATAATTTGAATTGAATGTTATTGTTTTAATTTCAGTTTTGACATAAAATGGACAGACCAACAAAGTATGCAGTGAAGCAAGCAGGGTTGTACTCAAGGCGCTTAACAAACTTGAGTGACCCTGACTCCTTGAAAGCGTATAAAGCCCGAGATGTTAGCAGAACAAGTGTCACAAGTGGTACTTCTCCAACAACTTGCATCTCCAATGCTTCTTCTCCAACAACCTTTAACAGAAATTGCTTTTAATATTCATGTATTATTTACAAACAGCATGTAAGCTGAGATTTGCACAAGGCTCCAAGTTGAAGAATAGAGGAGTTTCAAGCACATAATAATGGCTTTAAAAGTGTAAAAAGAATTTAAGCAAGAAATGACATTATACTTAAACAGAGTTCTCCTTTTTACCTGTAAAAAGTCATTGTATTCTGTCTGAACAGCAAGTTCATTAAACATTTTATCCTTAACACAGATAAAAGTAGCAATTTACCTGCTCCCAGTCCCATGTGAGTCGCTTGCCTCCACTGCTACCATCATCAGCACCATCAGTAGTAGAACGTGACACAGATAAGTTTTGGTACCTTTCAGGAAAAATGAATTAGACTCATAATCTCATAAGGAAATGGTTAATTTCAAAATGGCTATTATGACTTGTTTGGGAGATATATGTTGTACATTTTGTTTGGGAACATCACTGTAAACATAAATTTTTATAGCAAGCCTGCAAAGCAGACAAGTACACTTACTTGTAAGCCTGTAAATTAGCTGATGCAGCCATGGTAACAAAGGAGTCTGTCTTAGGAAGATAGGCAAGAGGGCCAGCAAGCAGTGCTCCAGGCAAAAATACGCAGAAGGCAAAACTTTCTTGCTCATAGACAGTCAAGCAGCCATCAAGAGATTGAACACAGATGAAGTCTTTACCACGTACATTTCCAAATGGTCCTGTAAAAAAGTACAAATTGATTTTCAAATAACCACAGTATGTATATTCTGGCCAAAATTAATTGGATGAATTTGTTATTACAGCAACTTCCAGACGGAGAAGGATAATGATGAATCATAGGGAAATAAATCTAAAAATTTTCCACCATTAACATAACAGAATGCAAGCATAAATTAACTATGTTTCATTCATGAGCAAACCTACCAACAATTGCACTATAGGCTTTCCTCTTGAAAACATGCTGATAAGCAGGGGCAAGCTTAGCTTGGAGGCCATGGGAAGCTGAATTGGCACTTGATGCTCGAGCTGCAGCACTCTGGCCTCTACCACCAGACACAGTGACCGTGTAGACCACAACACGAGAAGGGTGCAGCACACACAGCTGCTGACATCCAGGCTGACCACTTGATGCAAAAGAGCAAAATTAGCACTATTTCTGAATAGTTTCTGAATAGAAATAAAAACAAATAAAATTATATAAAAGAAAGGTGATTGGGTAAAAGATAAAACTTAATTATTACATTTCCTTGTAGCTTCATGAGTTAATAAAACAGATATTTGTTCTACATAAAAATAAACCAAAATGCATATCAAAATTAAAATGAATTAATTATACTTTATTCAGAAATGAAATTATATATACTTTACAGCAGCTTACCCAACTAATGCTCCTGCCAGTAGCTGAAGCACTGGATAATTGAGATTGGTTTCCAGGAGTAAGTGATCTGGTTTGTAGCCAAATGCTTCCTCTCCCTCTTCTGTTATAGTTACCTAATAAATTTTAAGAAATAAATTTTAAGGTAAAATTATTTTGATGAAGTAATACATATTAATGAAATGAACAATTAATAAATACAATTATCATTGCAATTATAATTGTCAATGAACATGAACTTTACTGCATCTTGATGTCTATTTGAATCTTTAAGAATTCCATCACCATTCAAATTAACTGAGCAACCTATTTTCAAAATTCAGGACATTAACATTTTCTATTACATAAAAATTATTTTACATTGATGATAGAGGAAATTATTTAAGCAAATGGTTTTGAAATTTCATGTGCAAAAATTCTTGCAACTTGCAAGTAGCTACAAGTCAATAAAATTTTGATCTTTATGGATTAAATATGGAACCTGGTTTAAATTAAATCTTTATACCTACATACCTTTGGACAGTACAGATGGAGGGATCCTGTATGACAGCCAACAATAACTTGCTCTTGCATATCTTCAGGATATTCTGCATTAAGCTGTGCAATCAGCAAACATCCAGCGCTGCAGATATCGTCATCTGTTGAGCCATCACCAACTTCTGTTGTCCACCAGTCGCGTATTTTGAAAAGTGACATGATGTACTAATTTCAGACAAATGTTTGTGTTTCTGCCGTTTCCAATACTAGCAATACTGCCAATACACAGGAAAACATCGCCGTACCGTAACCAAATTCTGGTACCTATGAAACTTTATAAATATACCTAAGTTCAAACCAACTGACCACGTTCATCACGGCAATCAGTGACATTTATATCAGTGTCATAAACTCTGATTTAGTCTGTCTCTGAATTCCAACCAACACAGCCAAGTTTTTCTTTCGGTTGACAAGCCTCAATAGTCACTACACTACAGAATGGTGCGAAAAAAACATAAAGTCACTGAATATGTAAAAACAGAACTAAACGTCTAAGGGACCAATATTTTGCTTATTTGGTTGCTATCCGCTCGTGCGGGTTTGCACAATGCATGGTTGAACTAGTAGATAGTTCAACCATGGCACAATGGCCCGTATGCTAAATAGGGCACTAGCACTACGAAGTAGCACTACGCACTACCAGCCGTAGTGCCGTACTAGCGCGACATGGAACACTACGGTTGGCATGCTAAATGGGGCACTAGCACTATGAAGTAGCACTTCGCACTCCAAGCCATAGTGCGGCGCCGGCATGGAACACTACGGTTGGTATGCTAAATAGGGCCAAAAGCATAACGCGCACTACAAAAATCTGAAGTGTCCTACACACCGCACTTCACGACGACACTACGGTATATTTCACCTTGTTTACTTCGTCAGCTATGGATCTGTTTGGCTTACAGCATAAAAACCTCAGGAACTACATGCCATGAATATAAAAAAAGTGTACCGCTTCAGTGAACAACATGTTATTCTTATGGCTGACATTTTCCTTGGCGAAACAGATGAACAGCGTAGAAGTAGAAAATACTTTTCTTGTTTTTGATACCATGTTTTAATTTTCTTTTTTGTTTTTTATGGGGGTCATTTTGAATTCTTCTGCAAGAACTTTCCATGCTACTCTCTTTTGTTCGATGTCTTTGGGAAGCGTGGACTTTGAATATATGATGGGAAAGGTGCGCAGACGCATTGCGAATTTCAGCTCACCATCACAATTTTCACTAGTATCATTACAATCACAATTAGACATTTACATCAATCTTCTGCAAAGAATGAGAATTACTTAGGGAATAATTAATTATTTGAGTACTTAACTACCATTCTTCAATAGACTCATAGTGTAGTGCGGCACTATAAAGTACTCTAACAGCGAAGTAGCACTTCAAAATCTTTTTGCATACGAATCAGTAGTGCGACACTAAGCGACACTAAACATTGTAGAGCTACTTCGAAGTGCTTAGTGTCTGTGACGTATTTAGCATACCAACAGGACACTTCGTAGTGCATAGTGCTACTTCGTAGTGCTAGTGCCCTATTTAGCATACGGGCCAATGTTAGTGACCGGAGATATTTGTAATAATATATCTAATATACATACCTGTAAAATGAAGATATAAATGTAAAAACTACGGAAGATATGAAACCGATACTTTTTCATTTTTCATGAAAGCCTAACAAATCGAAAGCAAAATTTTATTCATTCGGTAAATTTTTTTCAGTGATTTGAATATCACTGGGGTTCAACATATGAATAGTTTTGAATATTTTACGTTATATCGTACTTTTTGCGATTTCTACTTGGGTACGTGGCCTCTTTTTCACCGTCAATCCGTCACCAGCACCACTTCTGTTAAATGATGACTAAAGTCCACCTAGGCCCATGAGCATGACCATTAGAAAATTAATTTAAATCCTGTAATCTTTACAATCATCTTATTTTATACCGTGCAGGGCTGCAGAGTAGTAGGATTGGAGAAGAAAGCTTGATCCCAGCTAGCTGCGACTGTTCTGGTCAAATTGCCTAAGGTGGGCGGGCGGTTAGGCAGCGTAAAATTTAAGCAGTCAAGCAGTAAGTTGCGTGTTCGATACCCACCACAACATGTGAATATTCTGCGATGCTCGTAATCAGCGCCAGGTCTTACGGCTTAATCAACAATGAAACCGCTATAATCTACGAAAATAGTTATATTCTTATTGATAAATTTAAAATATACAATTAAATACATTGTAGAATTCTTACAGCTTGCCGATTTGTGGGGGCTAGCACCTGACCCCATTTAATAAATTGACTCCTTTTCAGGTGTTTTCAAGACAAGGGTAACAAGAGTTATGCTAATAGTAACAGATTGAAATCAACTAGGACGGCCAAATGAGAATGGTTGGGTAATAACATAAAATCGAAGATTATCAGAGTTTATTCTAAGCTCACGTGACCTGCTCGATGATGGTCGCCCCGGTACGAACTAGAAGACCAGGGCACGTGGTGATGACGAGGTGTCAGGAGCACGTGGTGATGACGAGGATTGTTGAGAGAGGCACGTGATGTTGAGAGAGGCGCGTGTTGTTGAGAGAGGCACGTGATGTTGGGAGAGGCACGTGTTGTTGAGAAAGGCGCGTGTTATTGAGAGAGGCACATGAAGTTGCGCGTGGTGTTTAGAGATGAACGTGGAGTTGCACGTTGAGTTGCAAGAGGTACGAGGAGTTGCACGTGTTGTTGCAGTGATGTTACAGGGGCAGCAATTTGAGCATTGTTGGATCTGACATGAAGTTGCTGCGAAACCGGGCTTTGTTCGTAGTGAATACACTATTTAATTTGGTTTGGTAAGTAAGCAGGTTATCAAGTGAGCTTAATTAAGGCATGGCAAAATCTTAACACAGAACCGTGCACTGTCTTCAGATTACATCTATCACGCTACACTACATGGAGCATAACTGGAGACAAGGGCAATCCTATAGGCAATGGTTCCAAGTTAGTCAGCTTATCCCGATCCTGCTGGAGCTGTGTCTGGACTAGAAGTGGGCTCTTTGAGTCGGCAGAAGTTAGCTGTGAGAGATCTACCGGAAATGAATGTTGACAAGGGATGAGGTGCTGCGCTATCATGCATTCTCTCTACACTCTTTTCAGAAATATAAAAGTAGCTATGCAGCGAGATCCTCTACAGATATGACCAGAATTCATAAGTTACTGGAATCGAATCTGCAACTCAAACCAGGTACTCTGAACTGTTACCATTGGCCAACAGGTCACTAAAGATTCGACGAGGATGGAACTCCATCTTCTCTTCATTGGAATTAGAATATGATGCGTGCTGGATCGGTTATTCCTGCTGCGTAAAAATCTTTACCTGGTGTAAAAAAAATACAAAATTCCCGTTGCTCTGGGCAGTTAAAAAAAATTTTATTGATAGGTATTCACTACAAATTTAATAGACTAAACATTTAGTTCCTCATGTCAACATCTTAAAAACAGAAACAATATATGAAAACATTTAGCACGGTCACCTTTGCTTTCCAGCCCCCCCCCCCTCTCAACTCTCAACTTCTCAAGTGGAGAGCCACTCTCGTATAATCCTTTTCCTCTCCTTCGACCTCCACACGTTCTCCAAATATCTATTCACACTTACAAACATGGCTACAGTTGCTCCCTCAGACAGACCCACAATAATTGTCATCCACAGTCCGGTTGTCAACCGTCACCACCCATTCCTACAGTACTAACATTTACCACGTCACCTTCCGCAACGTCATTGTTGTACGTCTATATAAGCTCCTCAAGCATCCCCTGAGGCAGTCGCAGACCAACTTCTCTTGGTTGCAGTTGCAGCCAGCCTCTATTTGATGTCGCATCTACTTAAGGGGGGAGCGCAGCCGTGCACCACCAATTTTGTGCACCAATAAGCCCTGGATCGAACGCTTTGGATCTCTCCGGACCTACACCAATCAGCCGTGCACCATTCGGCTTTGTCCTCCTCCGGCCTTGACCACCACCTGCCGTGCACCACCAGGCCGCGGATCGAATCTGACTTCTGGGCGTCGTTAAATTACGTTATTTTACGTTCACCGCATCTGAGGTTAGGTTTCATATAGCATAGTTCTGTTCCAAAATTTATCGTCCTTCGACAAGTTGCCGTTCGACCGAGGGCTGGTTCGACCCACGGCCTAGATACGGACGGCTGGAAGTGTTGAAGGCTACGTTCCGGAATGCAGGAATCATGATGGTCCATTACATCCAGGGCAGTTGTGGTCTTCGGCAGGCGACCGGGTAGAGCCAGTCATTGGCTGCAAGAAGGTTGTGAGCCGGGACAGCGTGAATAGGTTAGGCCAGAAGAGGCTAGGCCGGAGTAGGTACAGCCGGATGGGGAACTGCCTGTTTATGAGCGATCATGCTTAAGCAGTGGCTGAAGACCTACGGCGCCATTATCTTTCGGCAGTGTGTTGCTTGTCTGGATTACGGAGTTCAAGCGTAGTCTGCGGCTTCTAGTTCTAAGGCTGAGTAAAGTTAATGTGCATGGTGAAGCTAGGCGTTGGCCCCAGGGCTTATTTAAGAGTAAAATTTGTGGCCTACAGCTGCGCCCCCGCCCCTTTTTACCACGTTTTTCTTAGCTCGCTTTCGTGTCCGTCTGTGATGATCAAATCTTGCAATCGATATTTCCCCAACTTTCCCGCTAGCTAGCGCTCTGAAACTTTTAGGGAAGCTCAGCTCCTGATGACAATACAATAATCAATAATTTTTTGGCGTATTTATTCAATGAAATGCGTGGAATTTATTCAATTGGTGCATGCAATGAAATGAAATTACATGCACCAATGTATCCCCTCGAATACAATTTTCTACAGAACTTCGAAAATAATTTTCTTTCGTGCATTTGCGTGGCCAACTGAAATAAAATGAATATTATGTAGGGCTAAAAAGGAGAAAATAAAATACTTAAAAATAACTTTAAAAAAAAAACACGTTTTTCTTGTGGACTAAAAAGTAGAAAATAAATTATGGCTCGCCCCAAAGAACGTGGGTCGGGCAGATTTATGATTAAAGCGAAAAGCACCCAACACCCGAATTTTGGAAATTTGATGGTGAACGTACAGCCCGACCCACGTTTTTTGGGGTGAGACATAATTTATTTTCTACTTTTTAGTCCACAAGAAAAACGTGGTTTTTTAAAAAGTTATTTTTAAGTATTTATTGTAGTATAAAATCCAAACTAAAACGAAATTACAAAAAACGCATACAAAATTTATTAGATCTTTTCTCTGCGAATCAAATGGTATATGTCCCATTGTTGTAGCTTGAAAACTCTAGGCGGAGATAGGTTTGCAGTGAGAGCATATGCAACTGTTCAAGATAGCTCGACAAAGCCCCGAGCGGTTTCGGCGCGCTATATAAAGGCATTTATGGTAGAAACGATTCTCAAGCAAGGCGTTATTTGAGTTCAAAGTCGTCCGTCACCAATGACAGATGAACTGCGTGGCCACATTTCCCCATGATAGCACTTGGGTAACTGAGCTCAGAGCCTCAGAGCCGACGGCCTGACAGAGCACGCTCTTATAAAGGCCCGTTTAC